AATGTAATTCCTAAAGGGTCTTATCCTACCCTTCACATCTGCATCTCTGCACGTGAGAAATAGTCACGTGTTGCGGTACATTTCTTCGAGGTTTATGGAAGCCTCACATATTTGCAAAATCAGGTACTGAATCTTTTTGCACAAAGTTAAACTTGGCAACCAAAGACATGAGGAATGGATGCTAGATTAATACTGGACTATCTCTCTTTAGCTCCATGCAGACACCAAAACGTAATAATCTGTGAATTCTGCATGGGTCTCAGGACTTAAAGTAGGAAGAGTCAGGAATGCCGTAGGGGTTGTGGCCTTTTTTCTTATATTAGCTCCTTGTAGGACAACACCTAACAACCAAACACCAGCTACACAACTGCAAGAAGAAAGGTTCCTAATTCATTTTTTTGTTTGTTTTGTCTTGTTCTAATTAATTAAGTATGTTAGTACACTTTAGATATACATAATGGTTACATTCACCATCGGGAACGTGTACCTATACATTATGTGTCTTGATTCTTATTTTTTCCACTTTCTTCTCCATCTTTCTATTCCTCTTTCCCTCCTTATTTACAAGAGATTTATTTCCATTTTTCATTATTTCTCATTTTTTTCTTTACACTTACTTCCTTTCCACCTCCCCTTCCTAGCTCCCCTTCCCATTTGAACATTTCCTTCCTAATGCTTGCCTTTTAAATGGTTTTTTTTTTACTTTGTCAAAATATATGTTATATAAAAATATGCTACTTTCACCACATTGGGATATACAATACATTGGCACAAAATACATTCATATTACTATACAGTGATTACCATTCTTCATTTATAGAGCTGTTTCATCAGAAACCTATACCCACACACGTAAACTGATAACTTCCCCACTGTCCCACCCCCTAGTTCCTGATTACCAATACTGTACTTTGTCTTCATTGTTTTGACTATTTTCAGTACTTTACATAAATAGAATTATGCAGTGTTAGTCCCACTGTGTCTAGCTTATTTCACTAAATATACCAGTCGCAAGCTTTCATCCTTCTTGTAGCAGGTATGCAAATAGTTTTTGGTTATTATAGATATACACACAGAGACACACACATAAAAATAGACACAATAAGTTTGTTTATGCATGCATCATAGGATATTTGAGTTCTTACTTATACTGTTTGGCCATTGTGATTAATGCTGCTATAAATGAATGTATAAACATCTTTTTAAATCCCTGCCTTCTGTTCTTTAGTGTATATACTTAGAAACCAAATTGCTACATCATAGTGCAATTCCATGTTTGAGAAAATTGCTATAGTGTGTTCTACAGTTGGCTTCACTACTTCATATTCTATTTAATCTCATGGTAGTTTGATTCACTTTTCCTAAAGGATTAAGGGTACTGAGCATATTTTCCTGGGCTTCCTTCTGGAAACTGACGTATTTTTGAAACATGCCTAATAAAGTTCTTTCTTCATTTTGAATTGCTTGTTTTCTCTTTGTGTTTGTCATTGAGTTACCTTATCTTTGCTTTTGAGGGTCAGAGCCTGAAATTTTGCATCTCATTTGCATCCTGGTGTGTTTCTCAGTATGGGTGGTTTTCTATGACTTCCTTTCTGTGGTTCAGTAGCCCAGTGATTTCTTCTCTAGGACCCTCCCTGCTCTGCCCTTCCCGCGTCTCGCTTGCAGCTAATCAACCATCCCTGAGCCTGGACGAAAGGCTCTGGCCTTGTATCCTGAGACTCACATGCTCCACACTGATCTCCCTTTGCCCTTATGCTGAATTGTGAAGGACACAGTGATAATAAGCACTGGGCATCTTTGCCAGGAAGGGAATTTGGAACCAGGTGTGCAAAGCAGCCATTGTAGGGGCTCAAGTGTAGCCTTTGTCCTGTCCCCTGTTCTTTCTTCCTTTTCATTCCTTTCTTCACCTTCACAAAACCCAGAATCACTCCCAAGAAGGCTGTCCTCTGGAATGGCAAGGAGGGGCTGGGATTTGTGATTCCTTCAGACCCACAAATGCAGAGCCACCTGCCCAGCAGTGAGGGATCTTTTAAAGAAGCACCGGTACATGCATCAGTGGCCCAGATGACACATGCAGAGCCACCTTCGCTCCGCTTTGCTCCTTTTCACTGTGGAAGCCCTATGCGGCTCAGCTCTCACCTGTGTTCTAGCTGCAGTTCTCGCACTGTGTTTCCAGATGCCTGTGCCTATCCTTGTCACCTCGGACCTCTCCCCCTCTGTGACTCTCCAACCTGTCCTTCTGCACCAGCTCTGTCTGCAAAGAAACCTGCTACATTCATAACCTCTTTCTACTCTTCTCCTTTCAGAAAGGGCCTGTTTAACTCCCAGTTCAAGGTCAGCCTTCTTCACAGCAAACTGCATTGTCTTCTGCCTTCCACTGACTCTGCAGCCAATGGGGATTTGACCTGGTCTTTTGCACGCTACTGACTCCACTCTTTTCCCGATAATCTCCCTGAAGGTAAAGCAGCAGAGCCATCATGCCTTTGCTTGAACTCTCTGTATGTTCAGATTACAGGGGACTATTTACCACTTCTCACATTCCTCTCACTGAATGCTTCTCTTCCAACACTGCCTGAAGAATGTTTGGCGCACAAGGCTGATTGCCTCATCCACGGGGCCCCCTGCTTTCCTAAGTTACCACATACACACTCATGGTTCACAAGTGCCTCTCTTCAGTTTAAATCTGTCTTCTGAGCCCCAGGTGTGAACCACTTGGGCCTCCATCTATTGATTCACTCTTCCAACATATTCCGTGGACATCTCAAATTCAACGTGTTCCAAAGGGAACAGCTTTTCTTCTTTGCCAACCTGCTTGCCCACTGCTGTTCCTAACAAAATAAGTAGCCCCATGATAGACAAATTTGCCTAAACCGGAATCCTAGGTATCAACCTATAGAGAGCCCTTCCTGGTCTTCGTCGCAGCCCGGGAAGTTTATATTTGTAATCCCATGAAAAGTTATTGGAATTCTAGCAATTTAATTCCACTCTATCACTTCCAGTGCAACCCGTGGCTAGAATAAAGACACTAAGGCATATTTCTAGTTATGGGGAGCCAAGGGGCCCTAAGTCCAGCCATGATGATGGCTATCCAGAACCAAGGCCTTGACCCAAGGCAGAACCCAGTTTTTATGCATTCATGAAGAAAGGATTGGCTTGAGGATGAGTAACTGTGAGAATGGCAGGAAGTAGCTGAGTGCCATGAGCTGCTCTCTGTAAGAGGCCTGAAATCACCTCTGCAAATGCAGAGAGAAGGATATGCAGAAAGAGTAATCTGCATAAAACAATGGAGACAGTACGTAGTGTTTTGGAGTCAGTGTTTTAGCTCTGATTTGTGATCTTTGAAGCCCCAGGAAGTCATAGCCTCTATCCCAAGGCTTGACCCCAGCTGACAGGGTGGAGCACTGGCTCACATAGCCCACCTCATCCCAGCTCACTCGAGGGAGCAATGGGGTGGGTGTCCGGGGAAACACACTTGCCATCTCCAAAGATTACCATCGGCACCTTGGCTAGACCGATATGCACTGCTTAAAGCCAACTGAAGGGATAAAGAAAAGTCCCAGCCAGCTCTGTATACATCAACACATGGAAATAGGGTCAGGCTCAGCCAACATGGAGGCAATTGTTCCTCTTTCAAGGAGAGTCCCCTAGGTGGTCCTCCACATCAACCCTCAACACTTCTGCCTCTGTTCTCATACCCAGAGAACTACAAGCCTTGTAAATATTTATCCCTGAAATATCTCCTCTGAAAAATACCTGATTCTGCTTACAAAAAGAGCAGCTTTCAAACTTCTTCTGCAGACCCTCAGGGAATTTTTACTGATGAAATCTGCCATGTATTCTTTTTTTTTTTTCTGGTACCGGGAATCGAACTCATGATGTCGCGCTTGCCAGGCAAGCGCTGTGCCACTGAGCTAAATCCCCAGCCCCAGGCTATGTATTCTTGCAATAACACTCTATCCCCACACACAAGTGTATGTATTTAACTTAACCACATTATCACAGGATGGTACATTAGAAAAATAGTTCTTGTGTTTCTCATTAGTGTGTTTTAAAGGCTGCTCCAGATCAATATAACATTTTAAAATCTCCCGTTTGCTGCTTGATCTCCAAACTCTGCTGCTGTTCTTCCACAATGGACCGTGCACACCTCCCTCCTGCATTAGAGGACCGCGTTCCCACTGGGTGCACTCCGTAATGCAGCTGTGGTCTTCTGCTTTCCAGAGTCTACACTGAAACCAGAAATTCAGACACACCCCCTGTCCCAAATGATGTCTTTGAAGAGTCCTTGCCTCAACTCACCACAAGCAATCTTTCTCTCTGTGTCTCTCTGTCTCTGTCTCTCTCTCTTTCTCTTTCTTTCTCTCTGTCTCTCTATCTCTCTCTCTGCTCTCTGTGCTCTCATTTTCAACAACACAAATTATATCTACTTCCTGGATAATAATTCTCCTTGCCCTTTCCCTGCATACCTTATGGAATTTCAACCTGTATGCAACTACTTCTCTTACATCGTTGTATTTTTATTTTATTGGCCTCAACTTAAAGATCAGACATTTTTTAATGTGTGTGTGTGTGTGTGTGTGTGTGTGTGTGTGTGTGTGTGTGTTGGAGTGTGGGGGGAAATCCCTGACCACTGGACTGGGGTGAAGTCAAATGTTCTGCTTCCAGAGTATTTAAATTTTCTTGTATTATACTCCCTACATTTTGATTGCAGATATGTCTTTAAATATCTTTGTGCTTAACACACTATAAAGCTCCTCAAAGGAAATGATATGCCCATTTTATTCAACATCCCATTCCAGAACATGGCGTAATTCCTGGTAAGATGTATTCTGAAATATTCATTAATTGAATCTATGAATGATTGGCTTATTTTAATTTTTCTCTCACAGGTGGGGCAACATATCAGGGTTTTTATTTTTCCTCCTAAGAATGGTAAAACTACTTGCCTTTGAGTAGGGTGGAATAATTCAAGAACACATGAGTGGAAACATACAGGAAAGTATAAAACTGAACGCAAATGTGATTACTGGGAATTATTTTCAGCTTCAATGAGAGAAAGAGAGGAACAAAAGAGGAAGGAGGAGAGGTGAGCAGGTGGAAGAAAAGTGGTGACCTCTGAAGGGAGGAGGAAAAGGAGAGAGGGAGGAGGAAGAGGATGGAGGAGACCCTGCAGCAGAGCTGACACAGAGCTCCCCGAGCCTCAGGCATGCAGTGCCCTCTGGGAGGGGCATTAAGATGACCTACAAGGCACTCATCTGCCCTGCAGAGCCTGAGGGAAGAGGGGAGATAGAGCAGGCACTGGAGTCCAGACGTCGCCATAGTGCAGGGCAGATGGGAAGGAGCCACAGGCTGAGGGGGTCAACCACACAGCTCAGGTTCTCATCTTGCTCAGCCTCTTCATGGGGCTCCAGGCTCAGGCCCAGGAAAGAGTCAAAGAAACTCTTCTACTCAGCCTCGGGAGTTCTTCAGTTCCCCAAATGGTTACACTTCACCCTCCTGTCCTCTCTACCCTAGTGACTTCAGACAAGAGTGCAGAAAATTCTTGGTCCCTCATGCCTTGTGATCCAGGGAAAAGGAAATGATGACATCAGTGAACTTCAGATGATGTCTGCTCAGGATGTTTGCAGTTTGTCACTGGGTTCCAGGTTGTGGGTTCTGGAGGAGGGCTGGGCTCCTCCTCTCAGAGGGACTGGCTCTGCCTCAGCCTTGGGGAAGAAGGGCAGAAGCCAGGGCCCTCACCCATATTGTTCCTGAAGAAATGCAAGGTAAGATCTGGGCTACTGGAGCTGAGGGAGTGGCAGAGAAACAGGGAGGAGGACAGGGAAGGAAGGTGGCTTTACAGGGCTTGAGGACAGGGGTTTTGGCCAAGATGGCTGGGAAAAGGAGTTGCAGAAAGAGGGCAAAGTGTGGCCCCTGAGCTCTGCCAAGATCTCTTAGTGAAAAGCTGAGAAAACACCTTGATGAGGGGGTCAAGGAGCATTTACGTCTCTCAGCTGAGCCCGCTTATTTCTTGAAGGTTACTGAGGAAAAGGTGAGAAATGTGCAGGAGAAGAAAGACTTTGACCAGGCAACCCCATGGCATCACACTGATAGCAGAGGCTGAGCAGGAAGTGACTCCTCGACCCACAATGACAGCCAGGCAGGAGCCACCTGGGCAAGGGCTGGACCCAGCTCTGCATGTTTCCTGGACCTCTTTGTCATCCCTTTGATTGAAGAGGCGGCAGTGAGGCCCAACTCAGCCTGAGGCAGCAGGCCTTCAAGGCCTGGATGCAGCTGGAGAACAAGTGTGTGCTGCTTTTCTTGGTGCGGCGTCACATACCCACGAGAGGACTTCTGCTTAGCCGTCCGTTCCCAAGGGCTGATGCTTTGTCAACCTCATTGTGTGAGCAGCTTTGCTAACTCCTCCCGACCAAGCTACAGGCTCAGCTCAGGAGTTAGCACCACTTCTGTCTCCCACTCCATCCTGATCACCTCTGGGCTCTTTGTCCAGGGATCGTCTCGGGTTCCTGGCTTCCTGAGGTCTGCTCAGGTAGCAGCTGCCCCTTCCTTGTCCCCAGGAGCAGAGCCCTCAGGAAAGCTGTGCCCTCTGCAACCTAGCTACTTGCTCCAGCTTTGCCCACAGGGCTAGCTGAGGGAGGCTGGACATGGCACGGACAGGAGGTAGGTTCTGACTTGTCTCCCTGGCACGGTTGTGACCACCACGTATGTGGAAGCACACTGTGACTCCACTGTTCCAGCGTGAGGAGCTCCTGCGCTGCAGGCCTTGCCCCCGGCTCCCTCTCCGCGCTCATGCCCTCTGCATTCCATCAGCCTGTCGGGCTCTGCCTTCCACTTCACAATAACAAGGTCAGGACAGCGATAGAAGCATCAAAGGCTGTTGACGGTGACCCTGGCCTAGTGTAAACCCCGCCCTAGGGCTGCTGAGTCAGAGAGGGTGATCTCGGTTGAGAGCAAGGTCAGTCCCCAGGGTCTCTCAGACCCCCAGCCCTCTTCTCTTTAAGCCTCACTTTCCCTCTCTTCTCCGCTTCCAGAGAGGGCAGCTGCATAGGACACTGGTGCCAGTTGCTCCTCCTTCCTCCACCACACGTCTGTCTCTTCCCCTCTCTGTGTCCACGGCAAACCCAGGAAAGAGGGGACATCTGGGCCCATGCCCACTCCCTGACCCCTTCAGGTCACAAATGAGTGATGGTTCTCTCTGTTCAGGTCACCAGTCCCTGGGGTAAAGGAGCTCAGTTTAGGGGGGTGGCAGTGTCCGGGGACACAGGTGCCTTGGGTGCAGTCACTCCACCCTTAACTTCATCCCAGCTGCTGCTCCCTCACCACCTTTTCCAGGCAATAAATCTTTCAACACCAGATGGTCAGCCATTTCTCTGTGTGGGCTGCAAATTGACCAATGTCCCTGATGTCTCCCAGCACCACACACACACACACACACACACACACACACACCACTTTCCTGATACCTTCCCTTGTTCCCAAGCAGCCTTCTGGTCCCTCTCCTGGGTACAACCCTCCCATGCATGTCATCCTGGGCTTGCAGGCTGGAAGGACATTTACTAAATAAGTCACAGTTTTCTTGGCAAGACTTATTTTTTCATTAAACATAGTTCAATATATTCTTCATGCCAAGGCTTCCAATGGGGAGGAAGGAGAACTCCATGTGATTCAACTTCTTCCTTGGAGGCTCTCCAAGGGAGCAGACGAGCAAGGGAAGGAAAGCTATTCCCACTGTAGCTCCTTGTGCACCTCAGGCAGGAAGTGGCATCTCAGGGAGGGAGGGGCCCAGCCCCTGGACCAGGAGGAAAGAACAAGAGAACATAGCATCTGGGTGGGGAAGAGCTGGAGCATACAAACTGGGTCCTTTGGAGTGACTTCCTGAGCTGGTGCAGGGTTCACCCGCTTAGAGAGCCCAGTGTCCCGGGGTCCAGCAAGTGTCCCAGACCCTATTTATTTCCTGCCTAATCAACAGTGAATGATCAAGAGATTTAAACCATCTTCCAGCAGGGATGCGGTGGGAGATCCTATGGGATGGACACAGTAGAAACTGAGCAGATGGCAACTGTGTGAACTGCTCCACTCCGATCCCACCCAGGAGGAGGGAAGTCTTGCTCATGGAAAGCTAAACTGCTCCCTGAAAGTCCAAGATAGGAAGGGAGCAGAAGCAAGAATGGAGCAATAAGAACAGAGACTGCTACTGTACATTGACCACAGGACAGGTGCCCTGCACACCTGCCTCACCTCAGGCCCACAAACCTGCCTGTTAGCCCTTGTTATGCTCCTCTGATAGACAGGCAAGCAAGGGGCGCGGAAGTGTGAGTTTCTCTCCCAAGGTCAAGTGACCATTGCCGTGCTTGTTTCATGGACAAGGAAGCTGAGGCTCAGCACGGTGCTCTCATTTACCCACGATCTCTCAACCAGGAATCAGCAGAGTCTGACTGGAACCCCAAGTGCATCTGACTCCAAAGTCTGTGATTCTACTACTAGACGCAGAGACCCTGAGACAAGACGCCTCTCAGGTACCAACCAGAAAGCTCATTCTGACAGGGTTCAATTTCAAATAATCCAACCCCAGACAGCAAAACAAATGACTTGCCTTCTCTTGTTGCCTTATAGTATATGACTTCTTTTCAAGTCCATTATCATCTTAATTCTAAAAACAACCCCATAAATTTAACAGAGCAAGGTGTGTATTCCCGTTTTACAGATGAGGAAGTTGATCCTCAGAAAGACTGTTCACTGAAGGACAGATCTCACCAGGACAGAACAGAACAATAGCCAATACCTCTGGATCCTGGAGAGACCTGTTTTCCTAGTCCCCAGGCATAGTCAGACAAACGCAGACCGGTGTGTAGGGTGCTATGCTCTTCATAGTATTTCTAACAAGTGGAGACACCTGGGCTCAATGCTAAGCACAGAGGCAGTTGTATGTGTCTGACAATAAACCTGCTGAAGTAGGTACCCCTCACGAATGGCCACACGACCTTAGAATCCCAGCCCATTGATTTCAGTGTGGAGTCTAAAAGGAAACCCTGCAGTACGACTTTCCTTCCCCAATCTTCCTTGTGCGGGTAAGGAGTCTAGGCCCAAGCCTGACTGAAGTACGGTTCCTAGACTTTCCATCAGAGTGGAGACTCGAAGATCCCTTGAATATTTCAAAGTCAACAAGGATGAGGTCAAACAGGGTAAATGGGACCAATAGTAGAATTCCCCAGGTCACAGAGTATGTCTCTAAGAGTGATGATTTCTACCCACATATCACTGCCTAAGCCACCCGCCTCATGCCCCACCTCTGACCCCCAGGTGTGCCCTGCATATTCTCTTGGATATCTGCTGAATAAATCCAGGCAGCACATCCTGACACCCACACTCTCAGGTGCCGGGGAGCTACATGCAGGTGAGCACCACGTCCTCATCCAGGAATCGTGTGTGGTGGGGTCAGAGCAGGTGAAAGGAGTTTGCCGAGTAGCTAAGATTTTTTTCTTTATTATTTCCTAGTTCCTGTTATTGTACTGTCTGACAGAAACTGCACGCCTCTGGTGACTGTGTTCAACCAGAATTGCCTAATAGCACCTAGAGAATGCGCCATTTGGCTCCAGTCCCTCCCTTGTACCTGTCTGGGACACCGCCTGCTGGTCCTCTTGGTCTTGTGTCTCCCTCCCCCCCCCGCCTCCTCTCAGCCCCCTCCACACCCTGATCAGGTGTCTGCTTCAGAATCCACACAACTCCTCAGGGCCTAGCCTGGTTCTGACCGAGGCCCAGGGAAGGTGGATGCGGGGTCTGGCTGCTGCTCTATCCCGGGTAGCAGAGGACTGCAGCCTCCCAACCCCGGCACCCTGGAGCATTCTCTCCTTCTCTGCTCTTTTCTGTCCAGAGGTGACTGAACTGGAGTCCTCCAGTACAGACCCTCAGGAGGACACACTCTATCTTGCTCGCTTTGTGTCCCTTCCAAATGACTGCATGTCATCACACACGCCAAACACTTATCCCTGCTCTTAAACAAGTCTGGCATTTGGCGTGCTTTTTATGACAGAGCTGGCATGGTGTTTGGATGAGAACTTGCTCTAAATAAATAGAAATGGAAAGACTTCTTATCACCTGCTGCCCTTTCACTGAGTTTGTTGGGGTGGAGAAAGAAAAACTAAGAAGTATAGGTGGGGACAATTGGGGAAAGATCACTGGGAAATTCTGCCACATTTCCCAGCTCATGGGACTGGCTACCTTCACTGGACCAAACGTGGATTGCAGGAGGGGATCTGGCTTTTGGTGTGGGTGTTTAATAGTCATGCTGAGACTTGGAATAACGGTTAACACCGGGTCCTGATCCCTGACCATGGAATTTGTTTTACCTCCTTATTCTACTCCTATGCCCATGGCGAGAGGCCCTCAATTTTACACTTTACAAACATGTGGTGGTGTGGGGCCTTGAGTCTGGGGACACTGCCTGGAGTACAGTGTCCCCAGTTAATCAGAGGGGCCACACACCTTATGTGGGTATTCACCGTGGTTGGGGAGCTTCACTGTCTCCCGCCTCAGCGTTAGCGGGTGACCTGTGTGCCCAGGCTGTGCCTGCGGCCTTCGCTTTTGTCTCTTTGGATGGTGCAGCACCTCCAGTGACATTCAGACACAGAGGCAGCCAGACCTCCCCTGAGAAAGACACTAACCCAGGCCACTTGCTGCTGCTTGACGCCCTTTCCTCCCTTCATCGGGAAGTGCGGAGGACTCCTTGGGAGAGCAGAGAATGGAGAGAGGAACACGGGGCACAAAACATGAAGTCTGTTCTTCGCACATCAGCAAACCAAATAATCGGTACTTGGTCAGGCACAAGCAAGTGACTCCTGGCCGCCCTGTATTTGGAATGCAGTTGGCCCATTACAAATCAATTGTTCTACCTGTTTCCTCGCTCAGGAAGCCAGCCCACCTTGGCATTGACGACCTTGTACAGCTTGCCGGGCTGTGTGCACTGCTGCGGCCTGTCCTCCTAGTTGCCCTTGGAGCAGGCACGAGCAGAGACGGGGCCTGCACAAGGAGTAGGGGGACAGAGGGTGGGGTGAAGACCTCTGTATTTGGTGAAGGAGAAAGACAGAGAAGGACCCAGCAAAAGGTCTGGGGAAAACAAGGGCACAGGACCAGAGGCTGCCTCGGGGGCAGGCTGTGGACTTTGACACCCTGCTCCACACACCATATCTCCAGG